TTTGACCATAGTTTCTTTACAATTTTTTTTAACAGTTGTTTAAAGTCTTTGTCCAGAAATCCAGTTTTCTGCTAATTTCTCCTGTGGATGTGCCCTACTTTCTTGTTTCTTTGCATACTTGAAATTTTTTTGTTGGTGACTGGACATTGGATTATTACAATGCGCTAACTCTAGAAATCAGATTCTTCCCATTCCTAAGGGTTTGTTTTTGTTGCATATGTGGGTTGTGTTGTGTATATATTTAGTGACTTTTCTAAAATGTTTTTGTAATGACTGTATTCTCTGCTGGGTGTGTTCTATAAAATCTATTCAAGCTTGTTTTCAGCTGTTGTTGTCACAACAATTTCTTGGAATTCCTGAAGCCATGAAAAAATAGTTGTATGGTTTTTGGATGCTTGATTACTATTCCCAGTTGGCACTGATTGATTAAATTGATTTAATTTAATTAGTTTTTGCTATGACTTAAAAATAAGTAGTTGCTGGTTGCCTTGGTTGTGCATGTAGTGTGTTAACATACATGTGAAGATGTGTGAACCTATACTTCAGTATCATAAACATTGTTGGAAACACTGTCATCTCAATAAAAATACAAAAATATGCTAGAAATAAATAGAAAATTATAAGAATATTGTTTCTGCTATAAATAATACAAATTAAGTTGACATAAATCTTAATGGTTAAAAAAAGATAAAGTAGTCATTTAAAATAGGAGGGAAATTTATTTTTCTTATGTCAGCCTTAACTGCGGAAAGAATTTTGTAAGGCCAGAGGGTTAAAAAATACCTGACGTGTCAAGGTTCTTAAGTGTATCTCCCCAGCTGGCACCTCTGGTATCAGGCACTGAGTTCCTTTCCGGGCCACTGAAGTCTTGCCAGTGCTGTGATCACACTTTTCCTGTAATTCTCTCAATATCGGGCTTGTTTTTCTTCTTGGTCTTTTCTCAGACTTGAGGAGTATAGAGCATCTCTTCAAATGTTACTGGCTCCCCGGCTTTTATTCTGGTTTTAAAATCAGTGGTTGGTGAATTGAACCTCATGGGATGTTGGGGAAACTGCCCGCTGGTGTCTGGCTGGAGCCTCTCCGCCGTGTCCTCCATCCACCTGCTGCACCTGCTCGCGTGTTCTGGCTGCGGGCGCAGCGCATCGGGCTGTGGGTACCTGTGGGTACCTGTTGGTACCTGGCTTACCCCCTCCACGGTGGCCTGGCCCAGCTAGCACTCGGGGAGACGTCTTGGTCTCGGGGTGCTGTGTGTGCCCGTGGCTACCCCTCTCTGCCCCCTCCATGTGGCCCTTGTTGCCACCTGAACAGTGAGTGACCCGATCCCAGACCTGCACCCCCAACACCTGCTTTCTGGGACTGTTACTTTTGGTCGCCCCCACCCGCACTGTGAAGTAGGTCCTGAGCGTGTCCAGGGCGTGTGGGAGATGCAGGGACGCTGACGAGTGGAGCAGAAGAGAGAAGGAGCCTGTGGGAGAGGGTGCAGCGCCCGGTCGGCTTCCTCAGTGCTGGGCTGGAGCTTCCTCCCAGTGCTGGGCAGGGGGATGCTTCATTTTCCTTCTGCCAAGGAGGTAAGGTAGTTTGGGGGATTTAGATTCCCTCATGAAACCATCCTGGGACTGAAGAGGGTCCCGGGAAGGCTATTGATTCCTAGCACTCTTCACCCACCACAGAAGAGAGGGCTCCAGCAGCCAGCGGGAAGCTCTTCAGGGGAGTTGCAGGTTCTGGTCTGAGGACGTCAGGCTGGAGCGTGCGGACAGGGTGAGGGCTCAGAGGGTGTGGGTGCAGCACTGGTGTGTTCACTGCTGTAAGGTGTGTCTACTGATTGGTTTGGGTCTAATCAGGAAAGAATCACACATTAATTTTAATAGGAAAAGTTTAATGTCAAGAAGTGTTGGTATAATGGGCTGGGGCATGAGGAATTGGCTAGTGAGGAGTAGAGAGACCGGTGAAGAAGATGAACGAGTGTAGATAAGGCACAGCCACACCCCCCTTATGTCTAAGGAAGTAGGAGCCCCCACGTCCTCATCCAACATCCAGGCTGCTGGGAGGGCATGTCTGACTTACTGGATGGCAGAGGAATTGCTATTGTGCTCACTGGGAGAGCTTGCTTGACATCTGCTCTCAGGAACTTCCATGGTTACCTTACAGGATGCTGGGGAACGCTGCTCCCTGCCAGTGTCTCACGGGAGGTGCTCTGCCACCGGGGCCTATGGGAATTGCTTGGGGGGCAGTTGGCGGCTTCGTGCTGCTGGTCATTATGGACTGTGCGAGCCTGGCACTGGACTGAGAGGGCCAGTAGCTGGGAGCTGAGCAGATGGGCACTGAAAGGTCACACAAGTGAACGGCAAGGGTTCACGCTTCCCAGGGTCCTGCGGGTATGCAGGTTGCACAATGGGGCTCTACAGTGACTTTCTGCCGTAGCCTGACCCCTCATCAAAACATCTGGAGCAGTTTTGTGCCAGCCTCCCCCGAGTTGTGGTCGAGCCATCGGTGTAGTGCTGGAGCTGGATGGGGATCTTAGCTGAGACCGGGTCACAAGCCAGGATTCCTTCTCTTCTTTGTGACTGGGAAACCGTAACCTGGGGCAGTTGCTCCTGTTGTTAAGATCCAGGGTTTCAAATGCTGGTTATTTGGTGGTTATCTGGGCTTTGGCCCAGTGTATGAATGTGTGTATGTGTGTGTGTGTGTGTGGGGGGGGGGGTGGTGGTTAGGGTGGGGTGGGGGGTAGGACATAAGATTTGCATATCCGTGTTTCAGACTGCAAGTTATAGCCTCATCTGTAAGGAGACACGGGTAATCTGATCTGGCTCTCCCTGCCAGTTGAGATTTCAGTTGTTCAAGCTCAAGTCCACAGTCACTGCTCTGCACCCTTACATTTGCAGCTCTCCAGTGATGCGCCCTCTATCCTGGGTGCTGATTCTACAGACCCCTTTCTCCAGTACAGTTCCTGGGCTTTAAAGCCCTGATGTGGGTGTGCCCATGCCTTAGCAAAGCAGAGAAGCTCCACGTGACTGCTGTCCCTCCCTCCCATGGTTGTGCTCTCCTGCTAGTGCTCCAAACACACTTTAATTACAGTTTTTCGGCTCCCTTTGCCTTGCCACTGCTCTTGATGCACACAGTAGTCATTTGTTTTTCATTCAGGGATTGTTGTCTCTGCTTAGGCATCATTTAGTTGTACAAACGTGAAGGAGGTAAGCCTAGGTAGGGTCTTCCCTCTGCCCTTGCCACACTCCATAGCTCTCTTTCTTTAGAAAATAATCTTGTGTATTCTGTTAGGTGTGGCATCCTAGCAGCCTCAGTATCACCTTAGGGAGCTGGAAGTTTTGGGGTTTTCCGCCCCATGACTAGGCTGCAGGCCATGTAAAGGCTGGCTGGTTTCTGTTACATCCTCGCCCTAGCGAATCACTGTTCGGATTCAGAGAGCGAGGCTATTTATTTGAGCCCCTACCTTTTGTGGGCCAAACCTCCAGCTTCTGTTCCCTTCCCATCTGGAGGCTGTCAGAGCCTCCAGCCTTTTGTCGGTCTTTTCAACAGACAAATGTCTTCAGAGCAAGAGCAGGTCTCAATGCCTGGCTCCTCTTAAAGAAGTTGCAACTTCTGGATTTTGACTTGTAGATCTTACCATTCTATTACTTATAAGATGCTTTTAAGATTTAAAAATTGTCCCTTAGCTTTTTCAGTTGTCTTTGTGGAGGGTTAGTCTGAATTGCTACATGGATATGCTATTTAAGCTGTGCTTCAATTTCCTCATCTGTAATATGGGATTAGTAATTACTGTGTCATAGGGTTTTTGAAACGAGGTAACACGTTATGTCCTTATGGTAGTACCTGACGTATAGAAAATGTACAATTATTTTATCATATTAATTTGAGATCACTGGAATTTGCTGCTATTCAAAATATTTTCTAAGCATGAATTAACCCCTTATTTCCCAAAGTAGTTTGTAGGGATCTTGAAAGACAAGTAGTATTTATATCGACTGATCTTTCTGTTTACCCAAGTTTATATAAATGAAATTTACTTTCCTAATGTTTTTCAGACTCTGTCCCATAAGGAAAATTTAATTTTTTTTCTAAAACTAGGTAATGACCCTGATATGTGTGTATATTTATCTTTACATGCATGGATATATGCATATATGTGAATACATGGAGACTGCTCTGGCCTGAAGTCTGTGTGTATGTTGTGTACAGTAATGTGTATATGTGCATACATAGATAAATAAAGGATGAAAAGATATTTAGTTCATTAAAATATAGCATTTTTTTGGATAAAGTAATTGGACTGGAGATAAGGAAAACAAAATGAAGTGGAACTGGGACCTTGCTTTAAATGTTTTTACATTGTGATGTTTTTCTAGTTTTCTTTTTTACTTTTTATGTTTAACATAGGAGGTAATTATAGCACCTTTGGTTTTTTTACCTTATTTTAAAAATTGATTGAGTTCATGGAGAAGGTGTATAAAGTAGACCAGAGAAAAAGATATTAAAAGCAGGTAGTTGAGCTCAATAAAACATTGTGACAGCTACTTTAGCAATCCTGGTGTGTGACAAACAAGTGTAGCCAATAATATAACTCACGGATTGGTATGTAATCAATAATATCTCTGTTCCATACATCTGCATCTTTCAAAATGCATTTGATCTGCCTTATTTTGCCTCCTTTCAGTCTTTGTAGGAAATTTACCCTGATCTGTTTTATGTCAACATGGAGCCCATTGGTACAATGCTCAGTCTTACAGTGTTTTTTGTTTTTTTTTCCGCTGGCAAAATGAAACAATCACAAGAAATTAAAGATGTCCTTAAAGATGTCCAAATGAATTTATTTTGCGGTGTAGGGAGCTCTATGGCAATTAAAATTTTTTCTTAAGTTGTAAAAATAATTCTTTTTGAAAATTACAATATTCTGTTCCTTTGGTTTAATGTCTGTTTAATTTTTTTATGCTACTGCAGGCCTAATGTTACTTTAAGGTAATTATTTTCATGATTTTGTCTTCTAGGTTAACAGAACCTTCAGGATATTTAACAGATGGTCCAATTAACTATAAATATAAAACAAAATGTACATGGCTAATTGAAGGCTAGTAAGTATACAAGTTGGGTTGAATTTATTTTATTCTGAAGCAATAAAGAAGATGCTCATATCAATGTTAAAACATTGAGGCTTAACAACTTTTATATAGTTGATTCAATAATTTGTTATTGGAAACCACAATCTTTTAAATGGAATTTGCATAATCCATAAAACTTTTTGATGTCATGTTTAAAATAATTATCACTTGTGGTAATAGTTTAATTTTTACATAGATTTTATTTTTCAGCTCTGTTACTGTAGTACTAAATTAAGCAGGCATTTTTTTTGTTTTAAACATCTTGTTATAGAACTTGAAGATTCCATGCGAAGTATGAAAATACTCCATGTCAAATTATGTCACTGGGTCATGCCATTCAGTATGATGGTGTTAAAAAATAACATTTGTAGAAGAGAGAGTTAATTATCCTTAAGAGGTATTTTTCAGTAATTAGGACTCCAGACTGAATTTATCTAAACGTATTGTGAGTGGGTCATAAATGGATTCATATGAATTTTTGGCAACCATTTAAGATTTTAAAAGTGTTTGGGGAAAACAGTGAATTTTTTTTTTTTGTTTGTTATTTTAAGAGTGTTTTAGAACTTAACAGTTATTAATTCCTTATGCACCTATGGTCTCATTTTGTTTATTTGTTCTAAGTATATAATATTGAGGCCCTTTGATTATAATTTGAAGACCTTATACTGCCTCCAGTCAAGAGTTCTGTAAAGTAAGAGCAATTGCTTCTAGAGTGTTGAATCTTAAAAATAAACTTTGAGTATAATTTGCATACAACAGAATGCACCTATAGTAAATGTACAGTTCAGTAAGGTTTCAGTAATGTAAACTATGTAACTTGTACCTTTATCAAGGACTTTTCCTATTGACTACAGTTTTAGAAAATGACAGTATGTTTATATGGCTTGTTGATGACTTTTGAAGTTGCTTGTCACTATTCCAAATTAGATAGGATTACTTATCAATCTTTTATATGTGTCTTAAGGATTTGTAGCAAAATTATTTGTAATAAGTTTTTAATAAAATACTTGGGACATTAGAAATTAAAGAGAAATATTTTAATATTTTTTCCAGTCCAAATGCAGTGTTAAGATTGAGATTCAATCATTTCGCCACAGAATGTAGCTGGGATCACATGTATGTTTATGATGGAGATTCAATATATGCACCTTTAATAGCTGTGCTTAGGTGAGTGTGTTTAATTGATGAACTTACAGTGAATTGTAAGAAACTATAATTTATTAATTTTAAATATATATACTGATCTTCAAAATTAATTTAGCAGAGATATTGATGTCTGTATTTCAGATTGTAGACATTGTTCTTACTGAGTCTATCTACTTAGATGTATATAATAATGTAAATATTGATAGAGCAAAGACAAATAAGCACTATATCAGAAATATAGATTTCTTAATAAATGTCCTTTATTCTCCCTATAAATTGTTTATTCTTTTAAAGTGATTTGAATGTTTTGAGAACTATCTATTTGAATACATCAGTGTGTGTTTTAGCTGACTAAAAGACAATATATTTTTATAGTTGTCTTTATTATAGCAGAATAAAATTTAAGATTCCATAAAAATGTAGAAATTATGCTTTATGTAATAATATCATAAAGGTGTTTCAGTTCTCAAAATTTGTGAATTTTGGTTTCCTCAAAATATTTTGTTAGTAGACAGACTTAATTTTATAATCATGGCATTTTAAGTTTCAATTTAAAAATATATATATTTATGTACAAAATGTTAAAACATTTTTATGAATAGGAGATATGTTAGATATAGAAGATCTCAACACAGAGTGGTGATCTAGTGTATAATTAACCGGCATGATTGTTTGAGTTATACTCATTTATTCCTTGTTTTTGTTGTTTACACAGCCTCTCTTAAATATTCTGTCATTATTAACCTCTCAAATGCAGATCAAAGCTTATTGCTCCTTTCAAAATTTTAATTTTCTTTTTACTTCTTAGGCTGCAAAGTTTTGTTTTCCAGCAATGTGGGCTATCCTTTTATTTTTTTTGGCAAGGATGCTAAGGACTTGTATTTCCAATTACCTATTTCAAAATGATTCCTTGGGAACTTAGACACTTAGTCTTTGTTATTACTATTGGTCAAAATACTTTTAGAATTTCTAAATTGTTTAAACATTCTGTAAAGGGTAGCTGTGGTGGCCCTTCATCTGAGGATGCTAGATATGGAGCAGATGTGGCTAATTACACTGTAAGGCATTGTATTATGATTACTGGATATGGGTTCAAACATTTCCTTTCAGCAATTTAAATACCATTTGTCTATTGCTGTGACAGTATTGATTAACCATCATTTAGCTATGTGCCTTTTCATTGTTTTTCAAGTAGTTGTAATAACTTTGCATTAATGAACAGGATCTGTTATCACTCTTACTTTCCAGTCCTTCTCTTGATATTCTGTGAAAATTTGTAAGAAAATTGGCAAGAGGGACTTTAGTATGTGGCCGTGAGGCTGGAATCATTGGTTTTCATTAGCAAGTGTCCAGTTTGCTATTCTGAGGGAGAAGTGTTAATACAAGTATTTACTGGGTAAGCCTTGTCCTAGGCATTCATAGCCTCTCATCCTCCCAAGGATGATCTTGTGGAAGAAGTATTGTTATTTCCAGAGCATGGTTGAGAAATTTGAGACTCAGAGAAGTTACGTTTTCCTTGTAAAGATGGTAGAGCTGAAATTAGAACTTGATATTCTCCTGCATTCAAAGCCTATTGTACTTTACTTTGCTAAGAATTCACTCTCTCAATACTTAAGTTATTCCACTTTGTAAGGATGTATCATTCAACAAATACTGGATAACCAACACAACTCCAGACTCCCATACACCTGGAGGGTCTGGTCAGGATTAAGACGGGCCATCCCCTGGCCACACACCAGCTTCCTGGGTTTGGCTGCAGCTCGAAGCTGATGTGCCTGGTGCGCCACGAGACTGCTCTCACTGAAGACAACAGCTGCAGGTCCCGGGGCTCCATGCCAACCCTACTTTTATCTAGCTGGCTACAAATTCAGGGGTGCACGCTACCCCTCAGCTGTGATAACTTGCTGAAATGCCTTGCAGAACTTAGCACTAGGTTTATGGTTACAGTTTTATTATAAAGGACAAAAGGCAGGAGCAGCCGACTGGAGAGATGTGTAGGGTGAGGCTTAGAGGATCCCACGGAAGCTTCTGTGTCCTTGGCTTGGTGTTTTCCTCGCAGCACGTGAGCGTGTCACCGGCAGGACGCTTACTCAGGCTGCCCGTGTCCAGAGCTTTCACTGGGGTTTTAGGGTACAGCACTGTTCATTGAACCCTTGGTCGCAATGATTACTGCTTACGGTAACTCTCAGTTAGGTATCATCATGGCTGTTTCCGAAATGGAGAAATGGGATACAGCGATTCTGTGACTGGTCCGAAGTTGTCCAGTTTGTAAGCGATATTTAGAACAGGGGCCCAGGTTTTATAATTCTTTCATCACTGCAGTGCTGTTGTCTTGTATACCACACTAAAAAAGCTGGAATTTATTACTTTACTGTATCGGCATGACTGCTTTAGATGGTAGGGAATTGATTGGAATGGAGAAGTATTACTTTTTTATTGTGTGCTGGGCAGACATCGTGTTTGTAAATCCTTTGTAGCACTAATTTGAGGCCTGGAGAGGTACTGAGTTCCTGCAGGGTGTGCCCTGGGGTTATCAGCAGTCAGTTGACTTTGGATTGAGGTGATTCACACCCACAGTTTTACCCTGTCTTTGGGTTGGGGTCCACGTTCTCTTTTCCTAGCTGTGTTTAAAAACCCAGTTTCTCATTCATCAAACTTCACCTCCAACTTTGAAATCAGAAATGCCTTCAAGAAGAAATGACCCGGTGCCTGCACTCATAATTCTCCAGCACCAGCTGGCTCTTCCTGTTTTTATAAAATTGGTTATTTTACTTGATGACTTTAGTGGAGGGTTGCTTGGTACAAGTTGCTTCTTGTGTTGTGTAAGAAGTAGAAACCGTCTTTCATTTACTGCCTTTAAAATACAAATATGTAGGGCCTCCCCTGGTGGCACAGCAGGTTGAGCGCTGGGCTGCAAGGCTGCCCACAGTTCGTTTCCCAGCTGCAGGTTTGTTTCCCGGCCACCGGCGAGGGTCCCACAAAAAAAAAAAAAACAAAAAACAAAAACAAAACAAACCCAAACACAAATATGTTCTTTTTACCTAATTTAGTGATTCATTATTCAGATTTGTGAATACATTAGCAAAGCACTCATTTTGATAGGCTCTTGCCACAATGAAAAATACATTACGTGTAACAACCTGGTATGTTGAAATAGGAATTCTGTTGACAGTTTCCTTTGGAAATTTTTTACTCCTTCACAAATTTAAGCTAGCAGATAGACTAATTAGTAGAGCATCAAGAGTTGATTACTTTTTAATATGTTTGCTTTTGAGAATGCGTTTGCATTTATGAGGACTTTTGCTCCCCAACATTAATTTTCTCTTTGGTGTGTGTGGGCTTAGGCGGGTAACATTTTCTTTTGGAATAAATTAATGTAATTTCTGTAAGTATGCAAAATTATAAAGAACTATAAAAATAAATAGTTTTTGGATGACTGAGGTGAGAGCAGATGTTAGTCTGTTGACAGGAGTATTAGGCCTGATTGGGTGGGAACTCATCTTGAATTTGTTCTTCATTACACTCTCTGATGGGAATGTTTGAGTTCTACGTGATTAACCCCCTTTGTATGTACATTAGGAGGTATAATGCTTCAACTTTGCTCTTTTGTAGTGGTTTGATAGTCCCTGAAATCAGGGGAAATGAAACTGTGCCTGAAGTTGTCACAACGTCTGGCTATGCACTGTTACATTTTTTTAGTGATGCTGCCTATAATCTAACTGGTTTCAACATTTTTTATTCGTAAGTATTTTTTTTTTTAAAATTTCACATTGGTATGATTTTTGTAATTGAACTTCAAAGGTTTAATAGTTTTAATTCATGTCTTACCATTAGCAGGCAAGTATCTCTTCTTGCATGACACAGACGCTTAATAATAGGACTTAATAGGGCAATTTCTAGGTCTCAGGATGTTATGGTAGCAAGTTGAGTTTGGTTGAAAATAAATAGGTGCGTGGGGTGTGGGGATTCTCACTTGGTGGCGGTGTCCTCACTGAGTGAACTAAGGCCAGTTGTGCATAAATGTAACTGACCTGCTTTGGAGCTAAAAGGGTGCAGAATAGAGGATTAGAATCACATTGTGAAACTTATTAAAATGAAGCACATGAGGCACAACTTAGAAATTAAAGTTTCTCAAATAACCAAAATTCTTTTTCAGTTATTTTGAATTTGAATATGTATGAATTATATTTTTACAGAATCAACTCTTGTCCTAACAATTGCTCTGGGCATGGGAAATGTACAACTAGTATCTCTGTTCCAAGTCAAGTATATTGTGAATGTGATAAATACTGGAAGGGCGAGGCGTGTGACATCCCTTACTGTAAAGCCAACTGTGGCAGCCCAGACCATGGCTACTGTGACCTCACGGGAGAGAAATTGTGTGTCTGCAATGATAGTTGGCAAGGTAAGACTGCGTTGTTAGGGCTTTCAAAACATTGACCCGTGTCTAATAGATTAATAATATCCTATAAACATTTGTTGTACTTTGTATACCCAAGTCTCTTATACTGTATCTTTTGTTTTTAGAATCTTTAGATTAACTATCACCTTCTTAATATTCTGTGTATTCACAAAGAGAATTGGTAGTTTTTTTCTATATGTTTTTAGAATCAGTTGAAATTATATATGAAGCTCTTTGACTTGTAGGTGTGTCATTATGATCATCTGTAATTTTTTAAATACCCAAATATTTAATAACTTCACAGAATTTAACATAATTCATTCAGATTTGATTTATAATGGATAACACCAATAGTATGTTGATAGGTACATGCTTTTTTATATTGCATGGTGCTACAGTATATTAAATTTATTTCTGGTGAAAGACTGACCTCTTGTGGTTATTTTTAGAAGTACATAAAAAAGGCTATTTCAACTGTTAATTGAAAAAATAAGATTCCTGGGAAAGAATTTCTAAACAATTTTTATAAGCATATGTCACTAAAATTAATTACATACTAATTGAAGAATTTCACCTTAAGTTTTTGGGTGTAAGATGGCACATTTTGTCATTGTGGAATTAAATGAATAGATAGGGCTAATTATTCATATGCTTACCCATCCCAGACCTTTCTTTATGGTAATTATATTTATGTATTAAGAGCTTTCTTTGTCCCACAATATTAGTCCTATTGATGGAGGAAACTTTGACTCAAGAAATAATTTGTAGTTATGCAATCATGTACTATCATAACATAGTATAGCAGTAGTTCCCAGCAAACCTATCTAAGTAAAAGATAAAAAATTGTGCTCCCAATACACTTATCATTCTCGAGGTGTCTTTTTAAAAAGGGGTTAATTATGTGGGTTACTTACTTAGAGGAATTACTTTAGGTTTCATATAAATTATGCCATTTTACCGCCTTTAAAAAAGTTACTCCAATCACCAAAATACTATTGTTTTCTTACTGAATTTGATTATCTATTACGATTATGACAGATACAACTTTCTCAATGTTCTCTAATGATGGGGGGGGCATGTATTTTGTTAAGTGGCTATTTCAATAATATGTGCCTTTTCTTCCTGTAAAATGTATCTCAAGATTTTATTTTCTTTTTCATTTCAGTCTTGAAACATCTTAAAGTAATAATCAACACTGAGAAATAGAAATGTACCTTATATGCATAGTGTTTTTCACACCAGTCTTCAGTTGTTGTTTGTCCTCATCTCATTTCAGCAGTCTTGAGAGAGATTATGTTTTAATTATAAAGTGGGATGTATTTTTAAAAATGCCTTTTAAAAAATTCTTACCTAAAGAGGAAAAGGTTTTATGTTTTCAGTACTGCTTGTCAGGCCATTTCAGACACAGTTCTCACATGAGAGTTGGAGTTGTTTTTTAAGTCTTTGTTGATTAAAAAGTAATATCTGAATATGTAAAACATGTAATTCATTAGTTTCGTTCAGTACCTTAGAGTCTTTATTTGAACTTACTTCAGTTTCTTGCATGCTCTTTGTTCCTAAGTATTTCAAAGCCTTCTTATTTCTGAACTTTTCCCTCCAAGACGCTCAGGGTCTCATTAGCTTTCTCAGACCAGCTCATACCCCCTCTCCTGTGCTTCCAGAGGGTCCTACCTTGTTAATGTATAGGATTTATAACATTTACGTTTGTATGATTTTGGACTATTTTTCCTACCACAATATAAGCTCCACGAAGTGAAGGTGATTATGTTTTAATTATAAAACCTGGCATGTAGCAGGTGCTCACGTTGTTTCTTTTTTTGTTAAGTGAATTAGGCACATAGGTGTTTGCTGGTATAGTGATATGTGAACTTCAAGTATGGGTGTTTCAGAAGATCAGCACCCAAATAAATTATGTATTTTACTTGATATATAAAGCATAATATATTGAGAGAAACAATTGAATTTGAGCGTCTGGTGCTTTGACCTTTGGATTTCTCCAGCCCTTTGGCGTTAGATTTCCACATTTGCCACTGGATGGCAGTATTGGCCACAGAAAACAGCCTCCATGGCATTAGCGGAGTAAAGCTTCTACCTCAAATTCATGAATATTTTTATCCTAAAGTATTTTCTTCCAGGTTATTCATCTAATAGAATATAATTTCTTTAGGATTGTATATAGGTACACCAGAGAGTATTAGTTGCTTTGAGGAAATTTACAGGATAGCTGATATTTTTCTTTAGAAATTTAATGATAATGGACATCTCTGTTAATTCAGTGGAGAGACAAGTAGGTAATGTACTGGACTAAATTCTTCCCTTTTAGTTCGTTCTTCCCGCTTAGCGCAAACAGCAGATCTGGCTTTTTACAAGGGCCAATAAAATTTTTAATTTCTAATAAATAGTCAATAAAGTTGACTATTAAAAGATGTGAGCTCAGAGAGGTTACAAAGAGATGATTGGGATGTGGAGTTAAGGGATTGTTGGGGTGGTCGAGGTATGTAAACATTGGAGCTACAACAGCTAAGCCTTGGCCTACTAAGCCATTCTAAGGATTTTGACTTTTAGTCTAAGCAAGTGGGGAACCAGTGAAAAATTTTGAGCAGAGGATTGATACAATCTTACCCAGTTTTAAAAGACTCCTCTTCTAGGAATAGACTGTGCAAACAGAGCTTACAGCTGTAATTACAACCTAAACGAGAATGATGACGGTGGTAGTGTGAACAGTCAGTGAAAGGGGTCAGAATTGCTTGAATACTAAATGTAATATAAGATAAGCGGTTTTTGATATGTTGGATATGAAGGATCAGAGAGTCAAAAATGACTCTAGGGTTTTGAACTTAGAGAAAGATATATTGATATGGAAGATTTTAGGTGGAATATCAGTTTGATTTCGAAATGTTTATTCTGAGCTGTCTCATCTAAGAGGAGTTGTTGAAGAGGCAGTTGGAACTCAGTGGAGAGAGGTGTGTACCATAGCTGTCAATTTGGGGGTATTGGCTTAAAATACTGGAAACTATTGATAGTATTTAAAGCCATGAGATGGGGTGAGATCTCTAGAGAAGTGAGTGTAGAGAGAATAGAATATTGGACTGGTCTGTGGGTGATAACAAAACTTGTGAGATATTCTGTGCTACACTCCATTTGTAGACTCTTGCAATAGTCCAGGTGAAATTGGATGATGGCTTGTACTAGAGGGGTGGTAGTTGCACAGGTGTGTTGTAGTCTGGTATGGGTGATAGAATTCTGGAATGTTTGTAATTGGTGAGACACACACTCAGATGGATGCTGAGCTTAGGATGTGGCAGGATCCAGGATGAGCCATGGTTGCAGAGCATTGCCCTTGAGATGTGGATGGTGGAGAGGGCTGGATTATCTGGGGGGAGGGGGGCATAAGAGGGGAAGGTGGAGTACCTGAGTACTTGAGGCTGCATCTGCTTACCAGCCATCATTGAAGCATTTCCATGTTTTAGCTACAGGAAGGGCTATATTCCTGCATACCTAAGGAACGTCAGTCAAGGATTTGTTGGTGGATTGGATATGGGGTTTGGAAGAAAGAGAAAAACTCAAGAATGTCACCAAGATCTTTGCCCTGAACTGCTGGGTGAATGGAAGTGCCGTGTACTGAGATGGTAAACACTGAAGGAACAGATTGGGAGGTGGTGGGGCAATCAAGATTTTAGTACTGGAGGTGTCACGTTCGATACTATTATTAGACATCCAAATGGAAATGTCCTAAGGTAGTTTGACTTTGAGTCTGGAATTCAAGAAATTGTAGAGTTGGACATTGAAATTTTGGAGGGATTAGAGAATTATCTACTCTGTATGATTACTGAACGGCCTTTTTCCCCCTTGAAATACCTGAAAAATCTGTCTCACAGCTGCCTGTGTCCAGAGCCTAAAGTTCCAGCATTAGAAATTCAATATGCTCTCTGGGTTATTAAACTACACATAACCTCTAGAAAAAGTAGCGTATTAAATCTTTATGAAAACCTGCTGTAATGTGAAGTAGTTTATTACATCCTTTCAAGGCAGCTGAGATCTGCTTACCTTGAGGAGATTCCCATATTGATTGAGAGAAGTTACGCGGTGAGAGTTCTGCAGAGATGTCGCAGAAGGGGCCAGATTATGAAGTGGTACAAGATTTTTCATGGACATATTGTATAAAAAGGAGTCTTGGATGGCTTTAAATGTCAATATCAGTATTAGATTTTTAATGAATAGTGAAGACTTTGTATAAAGTATTCCTTATAGCTGTGTTTTAAATTCCAGTTTATTATATTTTTAATCATTTTAGTTATAGAATGCGGAAAACTGCAATTTAAGACTTCTTATTTTCCTTAAATTTCCAATTTATATGCATAAATCATTTTTATTTAGAAAAATATTTTTATCTACAAATATGCTGACTTAAATAAAATAATCTGTAGTGTTTGGCTACAGACCTAATACTTGCTAGGAGTTTCATAACTCATAGGGTAGTAACTGAGGATGAATTTTGACTGCCAATATATTTTGTGTAGACAGATACTTTAGATAACAGAGTAAAATCTAAGAAATTCTTTAGAATTGTTTTTATATTAAATAACATTATTCAGTTTAAATAAGTAAATAATAAATACAGCTGTTATTGTTGTTTCCTCTAACTGTCCTAACAAAGCTCCACAAATCTGGCATGTTACACCAACACACTTTCGTTGATCTCTTACTTGCTGGGGGTTAGGAGGCTGAAGTGGGGTTCACGGGGCCGGTGTCAGGGTGCTGGCCTTCTGGAGGCTGCGAGAGCCATGTCCTTGCCTTTACCAGCGCCCAGTGCTCCCTCCCTACAGCCCCGACTTCTTCCTCCATTGTCACAGCTGCAGCACCACTTCGCCAGGGGTCAGGTTGCAGCTGCCTTTTATAGTTATGTCTTCTTGTATAAGGACACTTGTGTGTTTACATGAAGAGCCCAGTTAGATAATGCAAGATAAATCTCCCCCAACTCACCATCCCTAATTTAATCTTATCTGCAAAGTCTCTTTTGTCAGATAAGGTGGCACTCAGATGTTCCAGTGATTAGCACTTGGATATCTTGGAGGTGCCTTATTCACACCACCACACACTTGCTCTGAAGTATTTTGCTTTAGCGCAGGTTTCATGAATGTATTATTGGTTTAAATATGTTCCTAACTCTCTTAAGAGTTCTGTGTGCCTTTATTCTCTGTCAGACTCTTTGCCAAGTAATACCCTGATATTTGATGACTTCCATCTCTGTTCTTTTAGGAGGCAGACTTAAAAAAAATTATTTAGAAAACATTTCAACTTTATAGAAGAGTTGCAAGAATAAGAACAATAGAAAGAATAATCAAATGCCCTTTACCCATTGTTAACATTTCTTTTTTTAAAGAAAACAAGATATAAACCCTATACTGTGAGTATGTGTAGATAAATTTAATGTCCAATGGATCTTATTTCTCTTCCATTAAATTAAAAGTTGGCGAGCATTTTTTGTAAAGGGCCATATGGTAGTAAATATTTCTGACGTTGCAGGCCATATGATCTCTGGAGCAACTTCTCAACCCTGCCACTGAGAAGTTCAAAAGCAGCCTTGGACAGTACTTCAGTGAATGAACATACTGTGTTCTATTAAGATTTACAAAATCTGGTAGTGGACTGTATTTTGCTTATGGGCTGTATCCCAACCTCAGTTAAATGAATTCTAAGTGATTTAGAATTGTAGTTAAAAAAATTTTTTTAAGAGCAGTGTGTTCCTTAAATTTCTATCAGGGTCTGAATTGTCATCTTTTCACTCAGAATAAGGTTTTTCATATCTGATTTGAAATATTATCAGATAATCTGAAATATTATCAGATAATCTATTCTTTGCTTTGTTTGTACCTGAGAAATCGAGAATCACAAAATGTAGACATTGACAAGGATGTTGAAGATGAATGAATGAATGATAAAATAGGCCCATGTTTCTTAAATCAGGGTCTGTTTGGAAGTCTTGACATTTTGTGAATCAATGATAATTAAAAAATTTTGATGTGATCAAATTTAAGGTCTACTGATTGGCCTCATAATTGAGGAAAAAATGCCACTTTATTGCAGTACCAGCAATATGTTTTAACCTGTGATGTGGGACCAAGTAGTGTACATTGTCATAGGCACGTGAGAATATTGTTGAACTTCACTGATGCTTTTGAGTAACCAAGAATTTTGAGTAACATTATGAATATGGATAGGAAAAGGCAATGTCTTCAATTTATTTAAAATATTCTACACTAATTAATAATTTTTATTATGCATTATTTTTTCTTTTTGAGAATGAAACCTCCCTACTGATATCTATTTGGTGATGATGCTAAGAAAAAATATACTTTTAATTTGTATGTTTGTTTAAAGGTTTACAATTAGAAAAATTTCATCTTTACTTGGCTTTTATTTTTTTGATTGATTGAGGGTGCACTGGTTTACAACACTGGCTGAGATTCAGTCATATGATGACACCTGCCGAGATGCATGTCACCATGATACACCTGCTACCAAGGCACCCATAGTCCTTCACCATAGTCTGTTGGGCCCTCTCCGTACTTTCCTCTCCCTCTCTGGTTGCCTCAGTTCTACAGTCAGATTTCTAGGCTTGGTTTTGTCTGATTCTTTGCTTTGTTTATCTATATTCCACATATAAGTGAAGCCATATGACATTTGTTTTTCCTTCTGACTTATTTCGCTTGCATTATATCCTCCAGTTCCATCCATGTTGTCACAGATGGCCAGGATTCATCTTTTTTATGACTGAATAGTATTCCATTGTGTATATATACCACATCTTCCTAATCATTTGTTCTTGGGCGCTTAGGACAATGAACATAGGAGTGCATATATTCTTCAAATTAATGTTTTTTTGCGTTCTTTAGGTAGTTAAGTAGGAGTGGAATTGCTGGATCATATGAGAGATCTGTTTTCAATACTTTGAGAATTTTCCATACTATTTTCTATAGGGACTTGACCAGTCTACATTCCCAACAATGTAAGAAGGTTCCTTATTCTCTGCATCCTCGCTCACATTTACTGTTTCTGGTCTTTTTGTCATGTACCAGTTTCACAGGTGTGAGATGGAGCTCACTGTGGTTTTAATTTGCATTTCACTGATGATAAGTGACTCTGAGCATTTTCTCATGTACTTTCTGACTATCTGTATGTCTTCTTTGGAGAAGTACGCATATAACTCTGCTGCCCATTTTTTGATTGGGTTATTTGCTTTTTTTTGTCTATTGTCTTTGAAAATTAAATATAATAACTTGGGGTCGATTTTTATTTCCATTTTGTAGATGAAAGCTGGATGATTGGAAAGATATGCAGAATTGCATAAGGTCACACTTCTGATAAGTGACAAAACTTGGATTTGAATACATTGTTTTACATTTTAATATTCTGGTAGCATTTACTAAAGTAATTTTGAAATTGTGCATTATTTATTTTTTTTTTTTTTTTTTTTTTTTTTTTTTTATAGAGGCATGTTTTTATTTATTTATTTGTTTGTTTGTTCGTTCGTTTTTTGTTTATACATGCACTGGGTACAGTCAGAAGCGCGGGAGGGTGAGAGAATTCACCAGAGCCAGAGCGGGGAGCAGAGCAGGCAGAAGGACCGAAGTACACTGCTGAGGGGAGCAGCGGGCGGCAGGAGAGGTCTGCGCGCCATGTGGGACCCTCCTCCTGTGGCCGGGGAGCAGCCGGGGATCGAACCGGCGCCGCAGAGGTCGCCGGCAGCTTTGCAACCCAGCGCTCAACCGCTGCGCCACCGGGGAGGCCCATGTGCATTATTTAAATGGTTATTTCAAACTGTGATATTATTTATCTGTATGATAAAGTACATATTTTTCCTCTGTAAGGCTTATAGGATGCAAATTATATTTTAGATCCTTTATTATGTACATTACATTTATTAATATGATGTACATTGATTCATATATTAATTCAGGTCATCTATTTCTATAATTTAAAATCTTAATGCAGTGTGTGATTTAATTTTTTTTTTTAAATACAGGTCCTGATTGTTCTTTGAATGTTCCTTCTACTGAGTCTTACTGGATTCTGCCAAATGTTAAACCCTTCAGTCCTTCTGTAGGTCGGGCTTCCCATAAAGCAGTTTTACATGGGAAATTCATGTGGGTGATTGGTGGATATACTTTTAACTATAGTTCTTTTCAAATGGTCCTGAAGTAAGTATTTTTTTTCTCCAGAATTTTACACTCTACTTTTTTAAGCTGGATTTTTTTTTTCCATAATAGCACCATCGTAAATGTCTTATTTTATTACTGTTGAAATTTATGAATGACTATTTTTGTCTGTTTGCTCTATGGGACTGATTTGGGGATCTATAAACTCAATGTATTTATTGTTAAATATTTGTCATTTTACACATAGGTTTGTATTATATAAACATTTCTTTAGTTCTTTAGAGTGCTTTTAATAAATTCTGAGTAAGAACATTTAACTTCCAATACAGGCAGGCCATGTTTATTTTGGCCATTATGAACCTTGCCACTTTTTCTTTTTTCAGAATGAAGTGTAATTGCTTATATGAAAATATTCAGTTTGTTCTTTATATAGTAATTCACCTGAACTTTTATGGTGCATTTACTTTACAAGCTTTTGTTGGCAGAATGGAAGAACAGTGCAGTATTATCAGCAGATGATTCATTTACTGTTGGCTCAGTAGAGATTGTTCTCTGTGTGGTGACATGACAAGGGAATCATGTGGCTGGCAGCTTTACTTGATTTTCTTCAGCTGATGATTGTATTTTATGAACTATTCGATAACAGAATAAAGATGAAACAGGGAGAAGAATTTAATTATCAGTGTGCTTGGGAGTGAGATTCATAACATGTAATATAACTGGTGTAGCTTGGACATGAACTGGTCAGGACTGATTTTGGACAATATGCCTCAATGGATTGTACCTCCAGGGACAGCAGATTTAGCAGATAGATAAGACACCCAGTTAAAATACAGGATGCTCAGTTAGAGTTAAACTTCACATGAACAGTGAATAGTTTTTTAGTATAAGTAGTATTGGTTTAAAGTAGGCCCTTGAGATATATGTATATATTTTTGTTGTTGTTGCAAATGTTTCATATGTCCTACTTATACTAAAAATTTATCTGAAATTTAAATTTAAATGGGTATCCTGTATTTTGCCTGACAGTCTTATCTACTGGAATATGTTAACCTTGCTAATTTGGGAATTTAAAAAATTGTGCTGTGTATAAAAGAGTTGCGTTAAAACTCTTACAATATGAAAATTAAACTGAAAATGAATTTTAGCTTATGAGTTATTTTCTATTCTTGTTTTTAGTTACAATTTAGAAAGCAGTATATGGAATGTAGGAACTCTGTCAAGGGGACCTCTCCAGAGATATGGACACTCTCTTGCTTTATATCAGGTATGGATCCTATTTTTTATTATTTTTAAAGATTGATTTATTTATGCATATAGGAACTAGGGTGTAGCCCAGAGGTGTTGGGGGTGAGAGGATTCACCAGAGACAGAGTGGGAACAGAACAGGCAGACTGACTGAAATACACTGCTGAGGGGAGCAGCCGGTGAGACAGGAGAGGTCTGCTGCGCCATGTGGGTAGCTCCCTGACTGGGGATCGAACTTGTGCTACACTGGCTGCTGAAAGCTTGATAGCCTGAGACTTTAACCCCTGCTCCACCAGGGAGGTCTTATTTTTTAATTTTAGTCATCTCTATTCTAGAGAAAAGATATTAAATCTCAGATTTATTTCAGATAATGAGAACAGTAGATCATATGGAACATTATTAACTTGAGATGTCAGACTTGTATACTATTTTAGAAAAAAAAAATTGGTTTTAGTGCAGTTAAACATGAGAAGAAGTAAAGGTTGCTGTTTTGTCTGTGACACACTTTTTCATCTTGCAAAACTGAAACTCTGTACCCACTAAATAATCCACATTTCCTGGCAACCATCGTTCTACTTTCTGTCACTTGAATTTTACTACTCTAGATCCCTCATGTAAGTGGGCCTCTTACAGTACTTGTATGGCCAGCTTATTTAATGACTGGCTTATTTCACTAAGCAAAATGTTTCCCAGGTTCATCTGTTTTGTAGCTTGTGTCAGAATTTCCTCCCCCCACTTTTTTTTTAATTTATTTATCTATTTTATACAAGAACCGGGGTACAGGCCAGATGCACGGGAGGGTGAGAGGATTCACCAGAGAGAGAGAGTGGGGAACAGAACAGGCAGACTGAAGAAATACTGGGCACGACAGGAGAGGTCTGCTACGCCATGTGGGACCCTCGCTGGCTGGCCGGGATAGAACCGGTGCTGCAGAGGCTGTGGACAGCTTCATAGTGTGACGCTCAGCCACCTGTGCCACCAGGGGAGGCCCCCTGAATTTCCTCCCTTTTTAAGGCTGAATGAAACGCCACCGATTGTGTGTACTACATTTTGTTTATCCATTGAGAGATCCTTGGGATACTTTGCTCTTTTTTGACTGTTGTGAGTAACACCACTGTGAGCAAGGGCGTGTAACTCCCTATTTGTTTTCTCTGCTGTCACTTATTTGGGTGTGTGGCCAGAAGTGGGATTGCTTCATCTGGTGATAATTCTCTTTTTAGTTTTTTGAAGAACTGCTGTACTGTTTTCCATAGCAGCTGGACCATTTTACATCCTCGCTAACAGTGCACAGGGTTCTAGTTCCTCCACATTCTTGTCAACATTGTTATTTTCTACACTTGGTTCTGGATGTTTTGTAATGGCCCATATCCCACGAGATAGTGGTATCTCATCGTTTTGATTTGATTTGGATTTCCCTTTTAAGTGATGTTGAACAATTTTTTCATGTGCCTGTTGGCTATCTGTACATCTTCTTTGGAGAAGTGTCTATTTAGCTCTTCTCAATTTTTGATTGGATTCTTCGTTTGCTTTTTGTTGGGTTATATGTGTTTTTGCAGATCTTGGACATCAGCCCCTTGTCAGATGTATAATGTGCAAATACTTTCTTCCATTCAGAAGGGTGTCTTTTTGCTTTAGTGATCATTTCTTTCATTGTGCTGACTCATTTATTAGCTCCATTTTTTTTTTTTATTATTTCTTAGGACTGTATATACGTGTCTATGTTTATTTTTGAATACAACTGTTTGACATCATCATTTACATTCTAAATGCCTTTGTAAAATTTTAGCCTATTTGTTATGGCTAAAAATTCCAGTATAATATTGATTATAAGTAACAAAAGTGGGTGTCTGTCTTGTTCCTGACCTTAGTGGGGAAGTATCCTGTATTTAACCATTAAATATATTAGTGAGTGTTTTTCTCAGCTGTTCTTTATTAGGTTGAAGAAACTCCATTGCATCCCTGAGCTGTTGAAACAAATGATTTATATCATTTATGTATCATTGAGTTTAATCATGTGATTGAAGTTAGTTTTGTAATTTATAAGTGCTGTAAAGTTTCTGCCTATTGCTATGAGAAGAGGTAATAAAAATGTACTCCACATGATACACAAATGTAGTTTATCTTTTTGTTGAATAGTGCTTGAGTGGAAGCAGTGAATTATGAGAATAGCACAAAACAGTATAAATAGATGGTAAGTTCAAATGCAACAACTAGGGGCTCAACAATTAGAATTATTAAAAATGTGGTAAATTGATGATATAACTGTTTAAATAAAATATCTTTAACTTTTTGAAAATGTGTGGTTTTTCCCCTTCTTTTAGGTAAAAACATTAATTACCATTGTTCATGGTTTCTCATTCGACTTTTACGAATAAAAACAATGTCTTTTGTATGTTGTGCATGCTTATTAAAATTTAGCCTTTATTTTTAATTAGCATGTATTGCTAAGAAATAACTATTTGTCTATGAACATGTTTTTCAATTTACAGGAAAACATCTTTATGTATGGAGGCAGAATTGAGACAAATGATGGCAATGTCACGGATGAATTATGGGTTTTTAACATACACAGCCAGTCTTGGAGCACAAAAACACCCACTGTTCTTGGGCACGGGCAGCAGTACGCTGTGGAGGGGCATTCGGCCCACATTATGGAGTTGGATAGTAGAGACGTTGTCATGATCATAATATTTGGATATTCTGCAATATATGGGTATACCAGCAGCATCCAGGAGTACCATATCTGTGAGTTACCTTGAAAATGTAATTATGTAATTTTCTCTTTATCAGTTGAGAATATTTTTATCTTGTATCAAATCTTCCTAAGAAGTCAGTGATAGGAGTAAGTTACTTGAAATCCTAAGCCAAGAATTTATAATTTTTAATGTGAACTTCTTGATTTGTATAGATTTTGTATAACGTTTCTCTACCAAAAGAGAGGAAATGTTACATATACAAGATCACATTTCCCAGAAATTGAGACTATTTTTAAATGAGAGAAATTCCAATAGATGGTGCTATTTCTTTGGATTTACTTAGAAGCCAAGAATGAAAACCAGTGCTGCCTCTTTACTGTGCATTCCATGATTTCAGGATTTTTCATTTTTCAGAAGTTTGTTCCTAGTCTTGCTGCAGCATCTCTCTGTAGGTCGTGTTCTTTCAAAGGAAGTTTTCTGAGGCTAGAACAAAGGATTGTTGTGTGGTGTGTGAAGGTGACTGGAGCAATCCATATACGACTTTCTGCACTTATGCTGTTAACTACTCTTGTTTGTTATTTTGGTACTTTATTTTTTGAATTCTTTATAAAATTTTCAAATGGTTACAGAACTTTTTTTTTTTTTATTTTGTCTACAAATATATGGCCTCCGGTTGCTATTTAGATTCAAGAACATCCTCTGTCTCGGGTGCTGGCCAGTGATGTGAACTCAAGTCTGTGGCTCTTTTGTGCACAGACAACTGTATACAGCTTTTTAGAGTCCTGTGTTTTCTTTGTGGGAAAACTCATTTGTAGCAGCAACAGGAGAGGGCTGTGTGCTTAGAGGGAGCCCCCTCTTCTAAATGCGCTGCTGTTTCCCGAGGTCAGTCCTATCAGTCTATTCTCTCCTCCATGTCCCCAGGACAGCTGGGCTGAAAGCGGGATATGTGTCCTCCTTCCTTCTGGTCACCTCCACTTCTGCTTTCACTCCTTCCTCCTCTAGGTTACTCAGCTCTGAATCTGGCGTCATCAGACATACCACCTGTCACATTCCCTGGCATTCCTGTCAGATCACTGCATTTTATTACTTGAGAATATAGCTTCTGACTCACTGTTATGCTCTCGCTCATGCATCAGCCAAATATTTTTGTGATTTGAGAGTCCACATACATGCTTCTAATACCTGGCCTCTTGATTTTTTTCCTTTTAATGTCTCTTCCAAAGATCTTTTTTTCCAGCTCCCTTGAGTCACTCTCTCCCATGGCCATTTTCTTGACCTTGTGCACTTGCAGTGCATGCCATACTTTCCATTTCACAGAACTTGTCAGGTGTGACCAGTCTTTTCAGCTTAACTTTTGGAGTACCCAAACCGACAGTTCCTCAGCCTTACCAGAGCCTTTAGTCCTGGGCGCTTATTGTCAGTTTCTCTCTCTCGTCCATACTTCCAACCTCCCAGCTCACCAGTGTCCCTCTGACACTCTGAGATGACCATTTTATGCATTTTCCTCTCTTTTCAATTTTCTTGCACTTTATTCCTCATCATTACTCTCAGCTGATGACCTTATTTTACAGAAAAAGTAAAAGTAATATAAAGAGAACTTTTGCTGATGGGACCATTTTGGAACATAGCGGTTAATAAGCAGTGCTGCGTTGAATAAGCCTGTCCGCATGCTTTGTAACAAACTCATGATACCACTGATGCAAATATGAGTGAGTTATCCCCACTTTCCAGAGGGGCCCAAGAGTTAGAAGTTTTTGATATAGAAATCTATTTTTTTGTTTTGATGCTAATTTGATTTTATACTGTTCAGGAAATATTATAGGTATTATTTCCACTCTTTAGTTTATTGAAATAGTCTTCAGCCCCATTTTCATAAATATTCTATAGCCACTTGAACAGGTATAGATTCTGTAATACCATGGACATGCGTATCTGTCGGATTCCCTTTATTGATTATACTGTTTAGTCCTTGTGTTCCTTTCTCTCTTCGTGGGCTCCTTATTATTATTGTTTTCTTACTTGATCTGTCATAACTCTGAAAGTTGAATTAAAGTAGAAAAATTTTATTTTCCCCTATTTTTCCTTGGATATTCTGGCATTTATGCTTTATAAAGGAAGTGCTGTTATGGATATTCATAATTGTTATATCTTTCCTGCAAATTGTATCTTTTAATGTTATAAAGTACTTTGCTTATTTAATGTTTTTTGACCTGATTTCTACCTTGTCTGAGATTAATATTATGCCCTTGTTTTTTTTGGTGGGGGGCAGTGAGTCTTTTCCTGGTATACTTTTGCTCACCCATTTGTCGTTCCCTTTCAGAAGCACCGTGTGTCTTAAATGTGTCTCTTGTATACAGGAAGAAGAGGTTTGTTTTGTAGTCCCATCTGCTTTTTGTACTTCTCCTGTACATGTTTTATCTTTTTGAAAGTCATTCTGTTTTGTTTTCACTTTTAGTTCTTTTCGCATTTAGTGAGGGTGAGGCCATTTTTTGGGGGGAGCAAGTGTGGTAATTTCCGAGATAATGCCACTATCAGGCTTCCTCCACGTTCCTTGTTTCTTGTGTTCCTTTCTCTCTTCATGGGCTCCCTCTGTCTGGCTTTCATGTTCAGTTGCTTTTTGCACATCACACTTGATTTGGAGTTGATAGATTTTTTTCATTCCTTGTTTCTCTGAAAATCTAATTTTCTTTTATTTCATTTCCTCCTTTCCCCCCATTTTCTTTATAGTTTTATATGTCTTTCCTGAGGAGTGTAGAAAGACTGAGAATTAAACTATCACCATGCTTTTTCTTGAACCAGAGATTTTGACGTTTGAAATTTTGAGATGAGTACTTAACTAGGGCTAGAGTTAACCACAACTTTTGCTCCCAGAGCAGTTTACAGGCTGCTGTTTTCCATTGGTGTAATTCAACTTGTTTGATTCAGACACACTTGATATTATCAGTGTTTTATGCTGGGGGTGTCATAAGAGTTTTCTAAGAAGGGCCAGATAATAAGTATTTTAGGTTTTTTGGGCAAAATGAATTATTGTCACAACTACTCACCTCTGCTGCTGTAGCTTGAAAGCAGCCACAGTCAGTACATAAATGGGCATGGCTGGGTTCTGGGTTGAGCCATTGAGTTTTAATTTGCCTAAGTCTGCTTTAGAGAGAGAATGTGTATATTTCTGGGTTCTAGCAACCGTGGTCCAAATTAAATAAAAATTTTGGCATGTGCTTTATTTGGATCTTGTTTATAGGGTGAATTCCTGTCCAGACTGGCCATAAAGTCTAGCCTATGACCAAAAGTTCCCAGAGAAACTATTTTTTTCTTCCACATGGAGCCAAGGCTGACATAGACATTTTCTGTCTATCCAGAGCAAATTAAAAAACTTTTTCATTTGCGGATATGACCCAGGAGGGATCCTAATTTGATATAGAAACTTTCAGATTCAATACGTACATGGGCTCACCTTCATTAGTGCCTGTTTAAATCCAATCTTGATCCCAGCCGGCCAGCGAGGGTCCCACATGGTGTGCAGACCTCTCCTGTCTCGCCTGCTGCTCCCCTCAGCAATGTATTTCGTCAGTCTCCTGTTCTGTTCCCTGCTCTGTCTCTGGTGACTCCTTTTACCCTCCCGTGCATCTGGCCTGTACCTTGGTTCTTGTATAAATAAATAAATCTTAAAAAAAATAAGTTAACTGATCAATTCATTGGCTGGTATGTTTTTGTTTTCATTTGGAATAATTGATTACAGAGTGTCAATTGTAGTTTTGGTAAATTTTAAAATTTCTGTAGGGTATCATTTGGCTTATTTTATAATGAAAATGTTCTAAATAAAATTGTCAACAGGGTAATAATTTTGGTTAGTTTTTTTTATCAGTTGCATTTCTTGTCTAGTGCACTTATGAATGTAGTCTAAAATATAAATAAGAATGATTTATGAGTTTCATAAGAATAGTAGATGATCAGCTTTTATTTATATTCTGTGAATTATTTAAATACAAAATGAAATTCATCAGTGTTTCTCTAAAATTATATATCTTAATAAGAAAATTGACTTATTTGCTACTAATGCACTTTGAATTTGCAGGTTGCTGTTGAAAGTGTGTAGTGTCAAAAGTAATCTGTAAGTACTTTCACTTTGAAAAGTACTTAAAAAGAAAAGAATATAAAATAGTGGGTAAATGTAGCTTAAAGTTGTCAGACATTAAATTTTCTGTACCGTGGACAAAGGCTACTTTAGGAAATGACACTATGTTAAGTGGTGCTGCTTTGAACATGAGTAAAGGGGTAATATGTCTTTTAGTTCTTTGTAGAACTGATTATACTGTGATGTCAGTTCAGCCTCTTTTTATCCTGACTTCTTTTAATGACATCAACTACCCAAATGCAGGCTGGTTTTGAGTACCTTTTTATACTTAAGACTTTCAGAAAACTAAGAAATACTTTTTATATGCGAGAGAGTGGACGTTCTCTTTAGCCAGCATTATGATAAGGGTAACTAAAAAGAAATCTGAAATTATAGCAGAGTAATTTATGAAAATAGTATTTTACTAATTTATGACAACAGAATATTTTACTAGGTAAAATGTACCCTAAGGATGTTGACCTCACCATTATGTAGAATTTAAAAGAGAAACCAGTTTACATACTGCAAAGTATGTAACTTTACTAATATTTAGTTAACTTTACTAATATTACAAGTAATGAGGTATTGCTGATTTTATGCTTACTACTGTGACTCTGAGATTTTTCTAATAGTATGATTCAGAACAAAGGAGTCCTCTGGCTATCTTTAATTATATTAGTTTGAACATTATATTTCAACTATCAAAAGAATCTAAGCTACTAGAGAATATTTTTATTTTGAGAATACAGTTAAAAGTCTATTGGTATTGTCATTGTTAATTTGAGTTTTCAAGTGTCTGTTGAACTAAGGAAGCAACATTTGGTCGATTTTGTAGTTAAGAAGAACACGTTTTTGACCTCATTTGATTCAGGATGTATGCAGTAGTGCATATCAGCAAATGATGCGGCCGGTAACTTTTTCATGCCTTTATTTCTAGC